GGAGGGGAGGAGGGGACGTGGCTTGGGGGGCACTGGCGGGAGCTGGCGGCGGCCTCGCCGGGGCGTGCTGGTGTCCGAGATGGAGGGGATGGAGCTTTCGCTCAGGGAGCCCATGCCCTGCAAAGCACCGAGACGCGCTGGGGAATACAGGGGTGACAAGCCCCGCTGCACCCACCACCCCTGCCCCGAGCCTGAGCTCCCCATGGCGTCCTCCTGCTCGGGCAGAGTCCCTGTCCCACCCTCGCCCGGCCTGTCCTTGCCTCGGGGTCTGCTCTTGGTGGTCAGCACCCACGGGGCTGCTGTGGGAAGAGCTAAAAGCTGCTCTGGTCTCCACGGGCAGCACCTCCATGGGCTTGGAGCACACTCGAGCACTGGCACCTTGTGTAGCTGGGACACCCCGACCTTGGCAAGGAGAGGATGCCACGGTGGTGAGAGGGCCAGTCTGGAGATCCACCCCTCTTCCCACATGCTCTGCAGGGTTTCCAAGCAGCCCTAACCTGCTCGGCATCGGAGATGCCACCAACAGGAGGAAAAAAATGGCACCGAGCTCCTAGAGCAGGGGGTTCATCCCCCCTGGTTTTGGCAAGGAGCTTTTTCTATCGACCCCTTCGCCTTAAGGAAGGGTTGTTTTTTTCCCCTCACCCACCTGCCTGTTGGGCGTCTGTGACCTGCCCTCGCTGGGTGACTGGGATCCCCGCCGCCGCTCCGGAGACTCCTCCTGTGCCTGGGGACTCCTCTCCTCCGAGTTGCAGCGGGAGATGTCGGGGGACAGCAAGTGCTTGCGCTCCTTGGAGCGGCCCCGCTCCCTGCCGCCCGAGCGATGCCCGTCGGACCGGTGGCCTGAAGGACATCCCCGTCAGTCACCACCGGCCCCCCTTCCCCAGGGTGCTTGGTTGGGGGGTGAGGGTTGGGTTTTTTTTGGCGTTATCATAGTATCATAGGTTGGTTTGGGTTGGAAAGGACCTTGAAGATCGTCTAGTCCCACCCCCTGCATGCACAGGGACACCTCCCACCAGGCCAGGTTGCTCCAAACCCCACTGAGCGTGGCCTTGAACACTTCCAGGGATGGGGCAGCCGCAGGTTCCCTGGGCAACCTGTTGAGGGTCTCACCACCCTCACAGGGAAGAATTTCTTCCTAATATCTCACCTAAATCTCCCCTTTTTCAGCTTGAAACCATTACCCCTTATCCTATCCCTCCCTGCCCTTGTCCCAAGCCCCTTCCCAGCTTTCCTGGAGCCCCTTCAGGCACTGGAAGCTGCTCTAAGGTCTCCCTGGAGCCTTCTCTTCTCCAGGCTGAACACCCCAACTCTCCCAGCCTGTCCCCAGAGCAGAGCTGCTCCAGACCTCCCATCACCTCCGTGGCCTCCTCTGGACTCACCCCAACACCTCCACGTCCCTCCTGGGCTGGGGGTTGGTGTGGGACTCACCCGAGTCGGCGTTGAGGCGCCGGGCAGAGAGCTGGAGCGAGGAGTGGTAACTGCGCCGGCGGGACTTGTAGGTGTTGTCGCTGCTGCGCTCCATGGAGAACTCGTCCAGCCAGGAGCTGTTGGGCCGCTTGTCCCGAATGGTGGAAAACGATCGGCGCATGGAGCTGGTGTCTGTCACCACCTGCCAGGAGCAGCCCCGGCCAGCCGGGGAGGGGGTGAGTGCCAGGCAGGGCAGGGGAGGATGGTGGTTGAGCAATTAGCAGGTCACTCGTCATCACTGGCATGGCAGCCTCTGGGATGGGGAGGGGGGGGGGTGGGAAAGACCAGCCCCCCGCCCCTGCAGATAATCTCTGCACAAACTGAGGTTGGTGGGGAGGAAAGTGGGGTTTAGCTTTTGTGAGCCCTGCCCCAGCTGGCTGGGAATTGTGCTCCACGAGCAAAGCCAGTGGCTGGGATTCAAGCACCAGGTGTCAGGGAGGTAGTAGCAGCAGCCCCGGGGGCGTGGGGATATTGGGGGGGCCAGGCCATTGTCCCACAAGCTGTCTCAGCATCCCTCCCTGCCTTGAAAACAGGAGCGGGTAGAACAAACAGACATCGAAGAAGAAATCAGTGAGAGAGGGGGCATCCTCCAGTGCCCCTCTCTCCGTGGTGATTTTCCTGGCTGCACTGGTCCTCCTTGGTCCTCCTTTACCCACACACCCCCTTTTCTTGCACTCATTCCCTCTCTCCCCACCCATGCTGTTGCTGCATCATCCCTCTCCTTTCTCCCTTCCGTGATTCTCCCTTCTACCTTCTCCCCTCCTTCTAGCTTATGTTCTCACATGTTTTGTGGAAAACATCTCCTCCTCCTACATTTTCCTTTGCTTGATTCTAGCAGCTTTTTGCACCTGCAGCCTCAGGCCATTCTTCATGTCTCCTCTCCCCACACCTTTTCTTCTCCCATCCTCTCCTTCTGATCATCTCCCCCACTGCTGAAAGGTCAGTAAAGCCCACAAGACAAAGCCTCATTTCCTCTTCACACCTTCCCCTTCTCCCCCCACCCCTAAAGTGCCACAACATGTCACACACCAGGACCTCTGTGAGAAAGCAGACCCAGAGACTTCACAGCAAAACCAAACTCTGTCTCGGTGGAGGCTGAATACAAGATGGAACAACAGAGAAACTGGGCAGACAAACGAGGAGGTGAAATGTGGCCTGGGTTCCCCTGGACAGATGGAGAAGTGTGTGCACTGGGACAACAGAAAAGGAAGGAAAAGGCATCCAAAGACGTGGGAGATACCTGACAGTGGGCTGGGAATCCTTGAACCTCAGCCACTGCCTGGGGCTGGAGGAAAGGAGTGTGGCCCCACTGTGGGGGGACCCTGCAACCTCCTGGCATGGCCCTGCTCCACCATGAACCTCCCACATGGGCCAGGAGATGATTCCCCTGGCTGCCCTCTGTTGCCAGTGTCCCCCACGTAGGGGAACAGCAGCTCTCCTGCTTGTGCAGCACCCCAAAAGATGGAGAGTTGCTCTGAGACCAGGATGCTGGGGGAAGCCGTGGGGACTTGCTCAGAGCAGAGAGAAGCCCCAGCATTACCTGGTGGGCTTTGCTTGGACCCAGCACCTGGGGGGTGCTTTGCTTGGTTTTACCTGGGGATCCACAGTGAGACGAGGCATGGAGGAGGCCCTCTCAGAGACAGCGTGGTCCTGAGTGTCCATGGGAAGGTAGCTGCCACGGTTAGAGGGCTGCACTCTTTGAAACTCCCTAACCTCTGGCTCCTGGAAACAAACACACAGCTCTTGGGATGGGGTTGGAGCGGGGCAGCACGTTGCTTTCTGCCCCGTTGGCAGGGGACAGCCCTGCTCGCCCCACAGGGGACAGATTTCAAGTGGGCCAAGAAGGGAGAGGCTAAAACATCTCATCTGCCACTGAAAAAAAATCACCTCCCAGCCACAATCCGTTGCTGGTGAGCCCAGACACGGCGCTTCAGGCTGGCCTGGTGGCCAGTTCATCTCACACCCCTGCCGTGACAGTGGAAACCCTGCCCAGATCTGGGGATGCCCTGACTGCCTGGGGCTTCACCTCCTCCTTTTGCCAGAGAGGATAAAAGTAAGGGATTTCCCTTCTGACCCTGCTTTAAAGGCTTTCTGGATGAACAACAGAAATCACACCACTCTGGTTAATTCCCAATTTAGGGGACTCCCCTGTGCCAGGACATAGTGTCAAGGAGATGGGCAGGGAGTGACCCTGCAGATCTGCTAGGAGGTGACTTTCTGGGGGTTGTTGGGGGGAGTCTCATCTCCGCTCTCCCCACCAGCAGGACGGTGGGGTGGTGGGGGCAGGGGATGGTACACAGGTGACACAGAGTGCTACAGACCCCCGGGGACACGGACTGGGCTGGAGATGCACAGTGGCACAACAGGTGCACCTGACGGGCATCAGGTGGTGCACGAACGCACATGCACAGACACAGGTCTATAGAGATGTATATATGTACATATGTATAGATAGATATATGCACAGACAGACAGACACTGCTGCTGCTGGCCCACAGCTGTGTGAGGCCCGAGGTGTGTGCTCCCACTGGAGACACTTTGACAGCTCCGTTTGGGAGCGGGGACACCAGCACTGACAACAACATGAACACGAATCCAAAAAACATCAGGTACCATCACTCAGCACAGGGTAACCCACTGAAACCAGCGCTCAGTGGAAAAAAAAAGAGAGGCCTGTGAAGAGAAGGATGTCTTACTGCAGGAGGTTGGACCAACATTGGGCCAACATTGGTCCCTGGTCATGGCTCTTGCCCCAGAAGCACTTGCCTGGCTCCATCAGCCAGGGCTAGTCCAGGGATGGCTTCATCCCCAGTGCCTGGGTAGAGGCGAGGGGCCAGAGCCCCAGCTGGGGGACCCCCGGGGATGTTTGTCCCCTGCTTTGGATCTCTGTGTGATCCAACAGCTGCCATCCCTCCCCAGAGGGGCAGGCAGCAGCATCTCAGCACCGTGCCAGCAGCCCCACACCTCCCTGTGCCCACAGTCCTGCACCTCCCTGTGCCCACAGCCCCACACCTCCCTGTGCCCACAAGCATCCTCGCCAGGACTGCAGGTGAGCCCCCACCAGGCAGTGTAGGACTTTACCAGAGACTGGTGCTCCTGGTACTGCCCATGGGTGGGATCCATGCACGCCAGCTGGAAGATCTCCTGTGGTGAGAGCGGGCTCAGCGAGGGGAACCCGCTCCGGCTGCTCCTGCAAAGACAGTCCAGCTTGAGGGAGGCCACAAGCCAGGTGCTGCCAGCACCTCTCCAGCAGTGCAAGGCCCCCACGTTTGCCCCCAGGCTGCTGAGACCTCCAAGACAAACATCATGTTCCTTGGAGAGCTGAAGTGGTGCCCAGGCAGGAGAGGACAGGTCCCAAGTGAGCAGTGGGGACATATCAGAACGACAGAATGGTTTGGCTTGGAAGGGACCTTAAAGATCATCCAGCTCCAACCCCCCTGCATGGGCAGGGACACCTCCCACTAGACCAGGTTGCTCCAACCCCCATCCAACCTGCCCTTCAACACTTCCAGGGATGAAGACATCCCAGCTGAGGACTAACTGGGGACATCCCAGTGCCAGCAACTCCCATCATCCCATTCCCATCAACCACAGTGCTAAGACCCCCCCACTGACCCTGCACCACCACTGCTGCTCCACTGCTCTCAAAGTTCAGGTCCATCCTGGACCCTGCCAGGTAAGAGAGATTGGGAGAGTCCATGCAGACACTTGGCCACCCCCACTGCTGTTGCTGGTGCTGACACACACCAGCTACCTAGAACCCTGCAAAAGCTTTGTGCCAGGAGCTTTGTGCCCTGGACAGAGTTTCCTTTCTCTTGGCAGCTCTTTAAACCTCTGTACATCCCAGTATCAGCTCCAGAGAACAAAAAGAGGGCTGCAGGAATAGAAAACCAACAGGACTAGCTCCCTTCTACTCAGGGCACTACTCACAGGCCTGAGAGCGTGTCTTGCTGGAGGTAAGGCAGAGCTTTGGCATTCGAGATGATTTCCTGTGGCAAGGAGGAGGGCTCCATGCGCTGGAACATGGGGGCATTTTTCTGTATTGAGGAAAGGAAGAAGCTGAGCTTGTAGGAAATGCAGGTGAACACCCAGTGCTTCACCACCCAAGTCCCTGCCACGTAGGGAGGCTGATGGGAACACCATGCTGGTGTTCCCTGTCAGGGACCAAGGATGCACATACACCACGCCTTGTAGTCACCAAAGCCCACCCTGTACCACCATCCTCATCCCTCAGCTGCATCCCACATTCGGTCAGGACATGGTAGGAAGCAGCAAGGGTGCTCTGAGCATCCCCCTCCTGCCCACCCAGGTGCCCTCACTGAGCCTCACCTGCTCCTCCAGCTGCTGCCGTTGCTTCTTGGCTTTGCTCTGCTTGTAGTAATCCATGATCATCATGGCTGCATATATTTTGCCAACAGTCAGGTCAGAGGCTGAGAGCATAAGAAGGGAAGGAAAGTGGGGGACACTTTTGTCTTTACCAGAAGGAGCAGGTCTGAAGGCATGGATCTCAGGAAGAACCCTGCTGTGGGAGACCTTGGTGACCCCCAGAGCCTGCTCACCGCTCCGGAAGAGAGATGAACATCCAGATTCTCCAGGTGGAGATAAAATGGGTGGAGATGCCTTGAAAGCATCATCATAAACCACCAAGAAACACATCTTCATCACATCAGCATATCTAACAGAGCAAGTGATGCTCAGCTTCCTGCCCATGTGTGCTCCAGAGATGATTTACAGGACACTCTCTGGGTTTGGCAAGTGGTCACTGCAAACTCAGCAATATTTAAGAAAGTTCCCAAGCAGCCAGGCAGAAACCGTCCTGAAGACACACAAACCCTTCTCCCACTTCTCCTTCAACTGGGGATGGGTCTGACTGGTCTCCACCTCCCATTGGGAAGAAGCTATCGCAGGTATGATTGAAACTTGGCAGCAATGATAGCCTTTACAGAGACTCACTTTTTGGCATGGGTACCAACAGGTCAAGCATCTTCTGGGATAGGTGAGGCCAAATAGTCAGGATCTCCTTTTGAAGCTCGGAGTCTAACTGCTGCCAATCTGCACCACCTTCAACAGAGGAGGAGGAAAAAATAACCCACACACATCAAGACCTGGGCACCAGGATCCAACAGAAAACACCCCTTTCCCATCCTGAAGTGAGGTCCACAAGCAGCAACCAGCTCTCTCTGGGCTGGGAGGGCCACTTTGCATCATTGATCCTGGTCTCCTGCCCTTGCAGGGAAACTTTACGACCATCCCTTCCATATGGGCCTCCATCTCCCCATCCCCTGCCCTCCCACACAAAGCTACCATCTCCAAGATCGCCTTGGGTCCATCTCTGCTGCTCCAATCCTACTCCAGCCCACACACACCTGCTGCTGCCCCACTTTCTCTTTGCTGGGGAGTGGATCATGTGCTGGTGAAAGAGAAGCTCTGCTTGGTTGGAATCCTGAAGTACTCAGCAATGCTGCACAAGGAGAGCAGAGCTCTCTGGCCTGCAGTGAAGAGCATTGCTGAGCTTAGGAAGACTCAAAGAGAGCTGCTGTCAACTCCTTGGAGACATCCAAGTTCAGGGCAACAGTGCTCAGCTGTAGGAGACCCAAGTCCAATTCTCTGCTTTATCTAGAGGGGCTCAAACCCAAAGAGCTGCCTCAACACTGAGCTCCTTGCTCCTCACATACCTTGCCCTGGGCTGCGTTGTTTTCCTGACCTCTTCTCAGGGGACCTTTTACTGAAAATGGCATGTTTCTGCTGAAAGCTTTTGATCGGATGAATCAGGCTATTTCCAGTAACAACAACAAGCAGGTTTTCCTGCTCTGAATATTTTCTCTTCCCTGAGAGACATTTCTGTTCCCCAGCCTTAAGAAGACAAGCACATGTGATCTCTTCCCTCCTCGGTTTGATTTCGTACGTGGGGAAGAAGGGGATTTCTCTCTCTTTCTCCTTTACACAGTGGACATCAAGCAGCTTCTGGTGGAAAACTGTCCACCTCTTCCCTAAAGAAACTGATTTTGTAATTCTTCTTCAGAAAGCAGCAGAAATCTGCCAGTTCAAGGTAATCCCTTCCACCCCCATGCAGGGTCACATGTGATGTCCTCATCCTGCCCAAAAGGATGAAAGGGCCGGACGCTCCCAAACCCTCCTGGTTCTGTCTTCTTCTCTTACCCCACCGACCTCACCTTTGGCAATTTTTATGTCCAAGGCCGTGCGTATCAGTGCCATCAAGGTGGAGGTAAAATGGACTGTCATGTCCTCAGCCACGGGCATGTTCATCAGGACCAGTCTCTGCGCAAGAGAGAGAAGAAAACAGCGGACGGAAAACAATATCGAAAAACACATCGACCAGGCTGGAGGAAAAGAAATTAATACACTAAAGAAAAAGGGGGGAAAAAAAAATAAATCAAAATCAAAATTCAAAATAATAAAAAAATAATAAATAAAAATAAAAAGCAACAAAGAGTGTCAAAACAGCACAGCCAAAAAAGAAGGGCAAGGATCACCCTGCCAACCCCACCGCCCCCACCCACCCCAACCCGGCTCCTTCCACCCCAGGACACCGGCTCACTGCCTTCCAGGGCTCCTCCTGCACCCCAGGAACAGCCCCTGAGCCCCCCTCTCCGTGGCATCAGGGCTGCCATGGCACCTCCTGGTGCTTTGGGGAAGACACACCTGGCCGGGAATGCTCGGGAGGGGGAGAGGGAGGCTCAGGTTTCTGTTCCCAGGGGGTTTGGCTTTCCAGCTCTCAACCCTTCCCACCTGGGGCAGGGGAAGAGAGGAGGATCCCTAACCTCCAGGGGCTTCAGGTGGGCTGGATTCCTCTAGCATGCTACATCCTGGCGCTCCCTTTTGGCGTCTTTCAGAGATGGAGTTTGCCAGCACATGCACAGGGTCCAAATTATCCAAGGGTGGGGAAGGGAAGGAGGGGTAGAAAAAAAGTGCAGAAGGAAAGAGAGAAGGGCAACCAAGGCAGGTCAGACACGCCATGCTCCTTCCCCACCCTGGGCAGGCAGGGTGCAAACCAAAGTGACCAGATCCACTTTCCAGAGAGTATATTTTGCTTTGTGAATACCTCGGGTCATCCCTTCCCTGCCCATTCCTTTTCACCTGGCTTCTCACTTCCTTTCCCTGTCTCTGAGCCTCCCTTTTTTCTCCTGGAAGAGTAGGATGTTGGATGTATGGATGTGTGAAAAACCCTTTGAGAGCTGGAGAGGGTGGCAGGGCATTGGCAAGTGTGCAGACATCCCCTCCTCGCCAGCCCTGCCTGCTGCTGAAAGGGCTGTGGGCAGCAGCCCATGGCCAGGAGAAGCTTCAGTTCACTCCAGACTTGGGCACCACATCACTCTGTAGCTCTGGGTCTTGCCCTAGCAGCTGCTGCCCTCAGCAATGCCACACAGTTCCCACCTGCAGGGCTCACTGTGCTCCTGCTCCATGCCTACATTGTGCCTGTGCTGAGCCAACTGCTGGGCCACCAGCCCGGGAGGAACCAGGGGGTAAAACTCAGAGACACCTTTTGAAGGCACCTGGCTTTGCCTTGCCCAAGCCATCCTTGGGATAGCTCATGCCAATGTGCCTGGCTCCTCGTGCACTGCAAAGCTGGTCCTTTGGGGTATGTCCTTGCTGCTCACCTATTTCTCATCTCCGTGGGCCTTAGTCCTGTTATCTGCACTGGCTGGGACAAAGACAGTGCCAAGCCCAGCAGATGAGCTTGGGTCAATGAGCTCCTAAGGACACCTCACCTGCCTGACTCTGCTACAGGGCTGCTCTTCACCTCATCTTCTCCAACCCTCCCACTTCCACACTACAGCTTATCTTGCCCTTCCTCTTCCACTGGGGTTCTTCCCCCCCAGAGCTCCCCAGGCTTGCAAGTGACCACGACAGCATCACGTGCGTGGGCAGTGGAGACCAACCAGCGTGGCCAGGGCTCTGCAGAGCACACAGGGCTCACCAGGAGCGAGCTCAACACGTGCTGGAGAACCCCAACACCTCCCCAGCTCTCCCCAGCCCCTCCTCCCATGGTTCCCTCAAGCCCCAGCTCCTGCTCAGCTCTAGCCCCCGTAGAAGGAAGGGTTGATCTACCTTATAGGCCACTTTGGAAGGACATCTCTTGCCGAGGCCTAGCGGTGGTGACATAAGAGTCAGCATTTCATACATCTCAGTGTAATGGATTCGGCCACTGCTCATGAAGGGGGAAGGGGAGGGAGGGAGGTGCAGAGAGAGAGAGGCGGCATTCCCAGGGAGCGGAAAAACGTACGAACCGAAGGAGCACAGGGAAACAGGAGAGAGAAGGGGGGGAAAAAAGAAAAAGAGAAAAAAAAACAACAAACGAACAACAGAAAAAAAGAACAAACCCAAAAAAAACAAACGGACAAACAGGAAAAGAACAGGAAACCCGTTAATCAAGGCAAATCATACGTGAGACTGTCCTGATGTGGATTTATAGCACTGCTCACACAGACCCAGGAATGCTGGCGGAAAGCAACTCACCCCTCTCTGCTGCTGGCCTCGTGCCTGCCTCGCTAGCAGCCTGGGAGCCTTTCCCTGGCCTCAACCTCTTTCCTAAAGCCCTCCAGCAGCCCCCAACTTCTCCCACAGGTTCCAGGGCTGTGTGCGAGTGGTATAAATCAGATACACGGCACTCAAGCCATGGGTTAATTTTGGAGAGAAGGGTGGTTTGCACCACAGGGCTCTGTGGCCTCCGGAGGAGCGGCTTCCCTCCCGGGTTTGGGGCCTGGGGGTTGCTTGGTGTGGCCACCTAACCCATAGCCAGAAGGCTGTGTATCCCCAGCTCGTAAGGTCTATGCAATTGGGAGGCAGCATCTTGCATAGAAGGCAGTGGGCCAGGGTCACTTGTCAAAGGAAGATGCCCAGTTGCTTCCGTCTGGCTCGGCGGATGGACCGCTTCCCCCACCATGCACCAGTGCAAAAGGCATGCTGAACTGGCTGGAAAAAGAAAACAAAACAAAACTGGGAGGGAAAAGTCGTACATGCCATGCTCCCCGCCGCCCTGGCTCTCTCCCACATGCGGCTGCAAGTTCCACCAGGTTGGAGTTTAAAGAGTCTCAGCAGAGGCAGCTGTTTGGGCCTTCCAACATTGGGGTTTGTTTGGGTTTCCCAAGGGAGGCAGCTCGGACTGACCCCCCACCTCATCCTCCTCCGCTCCGTCAGGACCTGCCCAGGGTTGCTGCAGCCACCAAGCACAGGCCAACCAGTGGCACCTCAAGCCCTCAGCCAGGCTGGGATACCTGGGCTGCTTCTCCCTCTTTCTGCCCTTCCGGGTGGCCTTTTGAGTAAATCTCCCAGGGATCAGCCTGGGAGATTTCAGCCTCAGAAGAGGCTCAGCCACCTCTTCTTCCCACTGTGCCAGGCCTCCATCCTGCCCTGCACTGTTTGGGATGTTGAATGGGCAGGGGTCACCTCACAACAGTGAAGGCACCAACCTAGGAGGGTGATGCTGCAGAGGAGCCCTTCTCAGCCGGGTGGCCTGGGAGAGCACACACTAGTGAGAATTGAAGCACTTCCCAAGGGATCTTGGCCTCTTCCCTACCTTTCCACTGCTCAGAGCAGTGGGGAAAGGGGAGAAGAAGGCACCTCTTCTTTTTAAGGGGTACCACAGGTTTGGAAGCAGACTCCTGGCCATAGAGGGCCCCAACCAAGATGAGTCATGACATTTTAGATGTGGACTAGAGATGGGGATGACCTGCAACTGTTTGGTGTGCAGGCACAGACAGGCTTGGCAAACCATTCCCCCTGAGACCTGACACACCTGAACTGGTTGGAAAGAGGAGACTGATAACACTGGAGACTGTTAAACAGGAGGACCAAGAGGGAATATCCAGGCCCAGGGGTCTGTAAGTCTTGGCAGATGCCAAGATGTGCACTGTATATGCACTGACTCAAGGTGTTTGAAAGGGAGAAGATGACTTCAAAATTTTCACACTTGAGAACTCTGTGCAAAAAAAAAGAAGAAAGACCATGATCTCCCACCCACCCCTCCTGGCAGGGGGATCTCAGTGTGCTCAGCACACATCAGACACTGTCTTTCTCCTGAGATTCTCTGCACACCAAAGGAGGAATGGATACCTGTGAAAGGAAGAGGTTGCATCAGTAACTAAGAGGGACCACACTTTGCTGCTTCTCAGAGCAGAGATCTGAATGTGTTTTGAGCAGCACAGCAGTGCCCAGAAGCCAGATCCTCACGGAGTGAAGCACAGGAAAGCACATGGGATGACATCTATCTGAACAGGATGGCTCCCAAGAGCTGTTCCCAGCACAAGCACATCCTTGATGGGAGAGCTGGCCATCTGTTCTGTATCTGGATGGGGATGTGCCCTGTGGCTATGGCACAGGGTGACCTGTAAAACCACTGGGCAGCAATGGCTCAGCCCTGCTGCTCTGAGAGAACCCTGTGAGTGACAGAGGAAGAAATCTTGGGGACATCTGTCCTCCTGAGGTTAGGAAACAAGTGCTGTGCCATACCAGGCTGTTAGGAACAGAGCACCAGGGTACCAAGTGATGTGAGAGTAGATTCAGGAACAGATGCCCACAGGGACTGCTTCCACACCGTGCTGCACCCCTGTGCAGCATCCTGAACTTGCCCAAGCATCATCTTGTCCAGAGCAGCCTGTCCACCACTCCACAAACACATTGGTGGTTGTTTCTGCAAGTCACCATGGTCTCGTTGCCTGCTACGAGAGGGATGTGGGCTCCAGGAAGGTGAAGCTTTGCACTGTGGATGTGTAGGACAAGCTCACCAAACTGAAAGGTGAGCAATCTGGGTTGGCATTTTGGGATCTGGACCATGGTGGCAAGACCACATGGTTTTTCTTTCTTCTTCAGATGTCTTTTGGGAACAGTTTCAGAGCAGTAGGAATCCCTGAAAATGTCTCGTGTCCTTGAAATGTCCCATGCACAGGGAGGAGCAGAACAAGGTAACACCAGGAAGAGATGGGCATGGTCTCTCTCACATGACAGCAGAAGCTGGTCTCTCTCTGCCTCCACCTCCTTAAGTTTATCCACCTTCACTACCCTGTCCATCCCACTGGAGAAAGCCCAGACTGCTGCAGAGCATTACAGATAACCTTCTGAGCACCAGGTGATCCAGCCTAGGAGATTAAGCCCTTGTCAGTGAAGCCCTGATGTCAACTGAGGACGACTAGAAATTCCTCCCAAAGGTGTCTTCTGTCAGCAGGGACCTGAGCAAGTATCCTCAGCACAGCCACCATCCTTTGCCAGGGATGCAACAGAGAAGAGTGGAAAGACTGCAAGTAGTCCCTCCTTGAACAGATGAGCCATCTGAGATCCTTCCAAGAAACCTCCTAGCTCTAACTACCTCTTCATAAATGAGATGACCAACCATCTGGGCCTTGCCTTGCTCGTTCTGCTTTACTTCTGGTGGTCTATTTCAAGATTTCCAATGTGTGCATCATCCCCAAGACCAGCTGTGAAGGGTGACAGACCCATTCCAGGGATGCTGGCTGGAAGAAGCATCTGGAGAGAAGGATGTGGTGGCTGCACCAAGGAACCCTCTTCCTCTGCAGAGCCACAGCCAAGGGCAGAGGGTGCCTGAGCTTCCCCTCTACATCTCCTCAAATGCTGTGAGGGATGCAGAGGAAAGAGCAACCTCTGCAGTTCATGACACAGACATGGGTGAAGAACTTTGCTCAACTGTCACCCCCCAAAAATAAAATTTGCAAAAAGGGTGCAAGTCATAGAGACATGAGGAAGCCAAATCACTGCCGTGGACTCACAGCCAGAAGCCTGGCTCAAGCAAAAGAGGAGCTGCTGATTTCCAGAGACGTGCTCAGGTGCCACCACTGCCCAAGTAGGTCTGGCAAGCCATGGGCAAGACTAGCAAAGAGTCCTGCTCCCCAGAGACACGGTTGTGTGCCCTTCAAGTGCCACACTTGAGGAAGAGACTGTTGGTTACAGCACAACATCCCCCAGGGAGAGGGGTCACCCTGCTGTCCCCCCAGTCCTCACTCTCCAAAACCACAGCAAAGTCCCCAACATCCTCCTGCCTTTGCTCCCTCTCCCTTCCCCCCCTTCAGGAGCAAACCACATCTAACCCCCCAAAATAACTCCTCCTCTTGCTTTGAGGAGCCAAGCAGGGATGGTGGCATCCGGGCCAGCAACCTTCAAGGGCTCTTTGGGGGATGCAATTTGTCAAAACCCCATCCTGGGAGGCTCTGAGGGCTTCCCCCCGACCCCCCTTTTGGCCCCACTCGTGCCTCCCCTCTCCAGGGGCACAGCTGCTGGCTCTGGGAGGCCGTGGACCTCTTTAAACTCGAAGGAAAGCAACGTCAGGGGGGGTTTCCCTGGGGAGGCGCGGTGGCAGTGGAGGAGCAGGGGGAAGGAGAAGGTGGATGGTGTGTCCCAGGTGGTGGCGGAGGACTGGGAGGCAAACCTTGCACGCCACCCTGTAGGGGCAGTTCTCTCCTAGGCCCAGAGGAGGCGAGATCACCCGTACTAATTTGTACATATCCTTATACGAGATCCTGCCGCTGCAAAGGAAGCACAGGTGGGTTAATAGGACACTGAGGAGGGGTGGAGGGGGGGAGGATGGAGAGCTTAACCGGGGGGTGCTGGGTTGATCCGTGGGGCAGGACCCCCGGGGTGCATGGCTCTTCTCCTTCTGGCTCTGTCAGACCCAGAGAAGGGAAAGATCTGAGTATCAGCTGCCTTTTCCACCATCAGTCAGCCCATCCCTTCTCACAAGTGACCCATCTTGGCCCTGGAGAAGGATGGGTTTGGTGGGGAGCACCACTCCATCAGCCTTCCTCACCGTGCCCCTGGCCACCTACACCTGGTGGGAGAGGACTGGGATTTCAGACAGGGCGAGCCTACAGCTTGGCTGGGTTCTAGCCACCACGAGCCCTTCTGATGGAGTCGTGTCCCATCATCACACTACCTGACAGCCTGCCCTCTCTTGGCCAACCCTCTGGTCCTCACAAGCTCCCAAGGAGGTTGGCAGCTGAGCCACTTGTATCTCCAGTATCTGGGGAACAATAATGTGACCAGCTGGTGCCCGGTGGCTGTGGCACTGGCACCTAGGTCTCCTGCAGTCCAGCCCTGTGCTCCGACCACCAGGCAACGCTCTGCCAAGGGTACACATTATTAGAAGCAAGCCCTCCCAAACACACACCCCTTCTTGCCCACAGCAGCACATGTCCCCAGCCCCGGGTGCAGCCACCGCAGGATACAGCCCGTATCCCTCCTGCACCTCTGAAACCATGAAGCGCTGGAGGCGGAGAACTGGCAGGAGAGGGTGCAGGGGGTGTCCAGTGCTGAGCCCCCCACTCCACTCCAGACCAGAGCCCTTTGGGAAGCAGGACCACGTGGGGTGGAAGTGCTGAGGTGCAGCGTGCTGCAGCCTCCTGGGCATCCTTAGACAAGCTTGGAGGGAAACCATGCGAGGAGGCAAAGAACAGCATTACCATCCCACCCAGCACCTTTGCCTCTGGTTTCTCTTTGCTCTTCTCCCATCCATTCACCATCGCTAGCCAGAGCTGGCCCAACCATCTGGGCAAAACCCATCCCTAAGCCCACCTGGCATTGGGAGGTCTCTCTTGTGAGACCTTCACGTGACAGTCCCGGTGTCAGGATGCAGAACTGCTGCCCCACTCAGGTGGTGGCACCCGTTGGGAGGTACTCACTCATTCCTCACCCAGCAACTGGGGCCAGGCCTGGGCCCAGCAGCACCAGCTCCTGTGTACGTCCCCTACCCGCTGGCTACGTGTCATTATGACAGAGCACAGCCTGCTCAGAAGTCACTGGGATACATGGCCTCAGCAGGACAGGTCAGGAATGCTTTTACAGTGTCCTGGAGACCCAGGCCACCAACGTGGGGGGTGAGAGTGAATGAAGTGCCCAGTGTGAAGACATCCTTCCCAAAAGCCATGGGTGAGAAACCCCACACCAACCAGCTGGATGTTTCACTGCCCTCATCTCCTCTCCCTTCTCTAGTTGTCTATCAGGACGTCTACTCACCTTTACTGACCTCTTTCATCACTAACAAGCAAACCCATCTGTCCATGCACAGCAGCAAGTGAGCTGGAGGAGGCCACATGGGGAAGAACCTGGCCAGCTCTGAGCTGGGACAGGGTTGGACAGAAATGGTGGAGAAAACTAAGCCAGGAGCTGATGATATTGGGCATAAAAAATATCTTGGGTGAAGGGTCTCCAAAAGGAGCATGTGTGGCTGCCAAGGGCTCTGGAGCCCATGCTCCTCGGCACAGTGGTGGTGGGTCATGGCTCTAAAGAGGGTTACCTATCAAACACACTCCAAACAAAATCCTCCATAGGTGACTTGGCAGAAGCCCACAGACCCCCAGCATCTCCCCATTGCTCAGCCCTGCTCTGATGGGGAGCAGCGGGTGCTGGGGACCAGGCAATGGAGGTGGTCCCAGGGCTGAGGCACCCAGCTGGTGCATGGGGACAGACAAGGAGGCTCAGAGGGACCTGCCTGCTGGCCAGGGAGGAGAGAAAGAGCAGGAACCTCCAGCATTCAGAGAAAACACCATGGCAAACTGTGAGCATTCCCTCAGAGGCCTGTGCCACCAGGTGCTGTAGGAACCAGCTGTAAGAACCTTGCAGGCACCACAGCCGCTTCCCAACAGCAGGATTCAGAGACGCCTGTTTAAAAACCAGCTCTGAGAGTGTTGCTCAGGAGAGAAGGAGCTGGCTACATACCACGCTGCTCTGTCATACTCTGCCCAGATCCGGACAAACTCATCTAGATGGTGAGGTCCCAGGATGGAGGAATCCCGAGTCAGGTACTCAAAATTGTCCATGATGACTGCCACAAACAGGTTGAGCATCTGAGTGCGAGGGGAAAAAAAGACCAAGAGAAAGGGAAGTAGGGGGAGATGGAGCAGAGATGATGGTGGGGACGCGGGCTGGGGGAGGGGCTGATAAGAGGGGTCTCGAGGAGGAGGAACTCACCAGGAAAGAGCAGAAGAAAATGAAGGAGACGAAGTAAACATAGGCCAGGTCGGTGCCGCAGCGCTCGTTCTCGTTCTGCCCGGACGTGGCAGTCGTGTCGGGCTCGCAGCCTTTGCCCTCCAGGCAGGACAGCATGATCTCCTGCCACGCCTCTCCCGTGGCACTCCTGCACCCAACACACCTGTGCTCAGCGGCTCGTGGCGGCACAGGATGCCCTCAGGAGAAGCCTCCTGAGATGCTGTGCAACCCACCTCCCACCTGCATGAAGCCCACACCAGTGCGGCCGTGCCAGGGTGCAGCTCCTGGCACAGGGAGCCAGATGGTCCAAAAAAAGCTGGGAGACAGATATCTTTTTGGGGGGGGGCAGGATGGGGAGAAAGAAAAAGAGCTCCTGTGGCCATGTATTACCCAGCTGGTCCATAGGACCAAAAGGTGAGACGAAAGAACCTGCCCAACCCAGCTCCTGGCAACACCTACAGCCCGAAGTGCTGCCTGGGGTGGTTGTTCACCTGAAGAGGAGCATGAGGGAGCCCAGGAAGCTGCGGAAGTTGTTGTGCCGGTTGATGTGGCTTTCCTCATCGAGTTTGATGTTGCCAAAAACCTGCGGGAGGGAAAAGAAGGGTTCAGTTGTTCAGGTAAGAGAGTTTAGCAGCCAGGGAAGCAGCTGCACGTTCGTCTTTGCTGCAGGGACTGGCCCTGCCCCAGGTCCAGCTCCCTCAGCCCAACCAGCCCCCAAAGCTGTCGACATCCACCCTCTCTGTGCGATTGATCCCCCGTGGAAAAGCATCCCAAGCCAGCACACCAAGGAGCTGTGCTGAGCAGCCATGGGGAGAGGAGACTGTCCTCTCCTCAGCAGGGATCTGAGGTGGGTGGCAAAGGCTGAGAGAGGCCAAGCTGCCATGGAAACAGAAGCATGGAAGAGCTGGGATCAACCGCGTCTGATTGCTCCATGTCCAGCCCTCTGCTGCAGCATCTGAGCACCACAGGGTCCTGAGCACTCTGGGTGGGGACAAAGAGGGGTCACCCAGTACCCTGGGTGCTGGGTCCTATTCCTGGAAAACCCTGGGAGCTCTTCCCTTGGTGAGGAAATGGTCTGTGATGCCAGGGTTGGGCACAGCAAGGAGGATGGAGAAAGGCTCAGGGAAGGAGGGGCAGACCAACTGCTGACCCACCACTGACACTGAGACACCTGGGACCACTGTCCCCAGGGGCAAAAGAAGCAACAAAGCCCCAGACATGGACAATAATCCTAATAATGACCCACAGCCCAGGCTGTGGTAGGACGTAACGAATGTTTGGAAAGTGCCTCAAATAGGAAAAAAAATGTGCTGTTATTACTGTTCAATATTTATTCTGCTTTCCATGAACCTAAAAATACCACAGAGTATTATTTTTTTTTCCCCCTGTACAGGTTTTTTGGAGTGTGTAATTGTAGAATATTTTCTGCCTCCAGCTATTTTGTTCAAATAACGCCCACAGACTTTACTGCTCAGGGATTTGTTCACAACGGTGTTAAAAAAAAGAAATACATTAAAAAATAAATCAAATACTACCACACTTCCCCCTGTACAGGTTTTTTGGAGTGTGTAATTGTAGAATATTTTCTGCCTCCAGCTATTTTGTTCAAATAACGCCCACAGACTTTACTGCTCAGGGATTTGTTCACAACGGTGTTAAAAAAAAGAAATACATTAAAAAATAAATCAAATACTACCACACAGCAGGGAGAGAGAGGGGGGGGGGAGGGGGCTGAGTCAGATGGTGGCTGTTCAGTGTGGAGAACACCTGGATGTGTAGGACAGAGCAGCCAAAAGCAGCCACATGACTCTTGGGGAGGAGA